CTGGGGGATGGACTCACACCCTGGAAGGGTGGTGTCGGCCGACCTCACTGGGGGATGGACCTCACACCCTGGAAGTGGTGTCGGCCGACCTCACTGGGGGATGACCCACACCTGGAATGGTGTTGGCCGACCTCACTGACCTCACTGGGGGATGGACCTGTCGACACCCTGGAAGTGGTGTCAGCTGGACCTCACATGGGGATGGATCACACCCGGAAGTGTTCGGCCGCCCCTCACTGGGTGATGGACCCACCCCGGGAAGTTGATGTGGCTGACCTCCACTGGGGGAGGCTCCACCCTGGGTGGTGTCAGCCGATTGTCACTGGGGGATGGACACAGACCTCACCACCTGGCAAGTAGGGTTGCCAAACCCTGAAAATTCCCTTGGCATAATCAATTGCTTGTCAATTTAGATGTTACCAGAAGTATTGACTCTGATGACACTTCCAGATGGACATACCCCCTGAGACCAGTGTTGGCCAACCTCACTGGGGGGTGGCCTTACCCCCTGAATCCATGGCCTATTCTTCACCTCCAGGTGATGTCAGTGATCTCACAGGGTTTGAAACTTGCAATGAGCATGGGTAGCCATATATAGGGATCCTTTTGATTCACACCATCTACAGTTTATTTATAGACCAAGACCCAGAGCTCTCTTGGTTGGTTGACGAGCTCTAGTTGATTTCTTGCTTGCCTCTTCACCCTCCTTTGCCATCTTCTGATCAACATCCCCACATGCCTCCCCTTTTTCTTTTCCTCACATCCTTTCTTGTATTCCAGGATTCCTTCATGCCACCCCCCTGGGTGGGACAGGAATCCCCTGCACTGACCCCAGTTGTTTCCTGTGCACCAATCCCTCTGCTTGAGCCACCAGAATTCTGCTGCAGTCTTGCAACTACCAGCCCCACTGCACCCATAACATCTTCCCCCTTGTGGATATCAAGACCTGAGCCTAGCAAAAAGCCCAGATTAGCAGCTTCAGGGTCATCTGATTCTATGTCCTGTGCTCTTTTGCACTCCCTCCACAACAAACCAAATCCCAGTACAATGGTAAGACCTTTCTGGGTGGATGCAAACTTTTCACTTTGCAATTGATACAGTGCCTTCCAGAAGGAATCCCCATTGCCATGCATCTCCTGGGGCAAATACTGGGCACTCCAGGCCCAAGATGCCCAGACAGGCAGGTTGACTGGTCCAGCATCAGGTTCCTGTACAAAATGTTTGTTAACCTGGTATTTGAAGAAAGTTCATCACTTACTGTCTCTGGCAAGCCATCTACAAGCTCAACAAGTTCCTGGTACCTGGGCATGATGCAAAGGGACTTTAAATATTTCACCCTGTCCCCATTGGCATGACAAGCAGGGCTGGATTCATGAGGGGTATCTTCAGATGGGGCCCTCCCAGAGTCAAGGATATCCTGGGCCCCTGATGAAGTTGCTATAGGGGTCATACCAGCCCCACCAATTTCTTCCCCTAAATCTGAGGGCTTGGCCTCCACCCCAGCTTCACTGTCCTCCCCAGGGCTCATCCACTCTCTCTTTTTGGATGGGGTTTTCCTGTTCCAGGGCCTTCCCAATGGCTCATCCTCCTTTTTGCACTTGATGAATGAAACAATCACCTTATCCTCCTCCTCTTGGGAATTCCAATGATTCCAAAGCATCCACATGTCGGCCTTGGTCCATTTTGAAGGATCTTTCATCACAAATCCTTCTGGGATGGAATTGGAACTCAGATACTCCAAATGGGACTTGATAAGCAGGCCCCAGGGAACCTTGGCCTTGGGCTTCCCTGTAAACTTTGCTATGTTTCCAACTTCCATCAACAACTGTAGATGCACTTGACAATCAAGAACATACCATAGGCAGCCTGGAAGACCATTCTTGCCAAACTCTGCTGGACCTTGAGTTTCTGACCAGTCCAAGCTGGTACCTCTGGGTTTCCTTCATCATCCAAGGCTATCTCCACCTTTGGATTCTCATCATTCAAATCTTCCTCAGCTGAGTATGGAATCAACCTAGGTACACATATTACATTGATCACCAACGTTTATCACTTACCAGCTTCAGTCAAAAGATAATTGGTTAACATTTGCTCTCCCTTTAGAACCCAATCCTTGGTGGGCTCTGAAGACTCTGAGAAGGCCTTCTTCCCATCAGGGGGTTGTGTTTCAAAGCTAGGTTTCTTCATTAGCATTGGATAGACAAGGTAAAGGGGAACCTACACTGCCATCTTGATCTGAGAATCAGTAGTCTCATGAGCCAGAAACATCACTATATTTGACCCCATGGTCCTCCTGACTGTTTCAATAAAGTCTCTGGCCATGTTGGGAAAATTTTTTCTCCTGTACCTGAATTATTGCATGATTAGTATAAGACATTTGAAGTAGACCAGCACTGACAATTCATGAGTTTCTTTTGGAGCTCCCAACTTATTCCACTTGGAAGCAGCCCTCCCTGCTTCAGCCTTCTTGTCATCTGCAAGAGACTCCCACCACTGTTGGATGATTTTGGTCCTCTGACCTATGGTCTTGGGGTCCTTGGTGTCCCTCCTCTCCCTATCATAGGCATCCATGTCCTCTTTGAAGAGCTGCTGGGAGGCAGTAAAATCAGTGAAGGGTTTTCTGTAATTTCCAGCCTTGGTAGGTCTGGTCCTCTCCTCTCTGCCATCCTCATCCTCACCAGTCCCAGGCTGCTCCTTCCTCTTGTCTGTTGCAGCCAGGATGCTCTCAATGATGTGTTCCTCATCATCCTGGTCTTCAGGGTCTAGTTCTGGCAAAAACACCCTTCTGATGGCCTAAATACACTTGAGATATGTGAAACTTGATGAAAAAGATACCCTACCACTCTCAAGTTCTGGGGCAATTCCACAGATCCTGAAGATGCTTGCTGAAGGATCTGGGATTTCACATCAGCCAGGATCTGGGCCCTGAGGTCAGGATTCCCTCGGGCATCTGTGTACTGCTCCACATAGGAGGACAGCAGATCAGAGTAGACTTCAGACCAATCAGCCATGAGAGAATAAAATCAGGGGGATAATTAGCAGCACAGATGATGGAGGTTGGAAGCAAGGTGAAAATTTTTCAGCCTTTCCCAATTTAGGCAGGAGGTTGAAGTTTTTGGCCATCACTCTTTTAGGAAAGGTACCATTATGATATGATTGTTTTGATGTATTTGCTATTCACTTTGATTCAGATACCAAGTGCAAAGCAAGGGTAATCGGAAAACTATACACATATACCCATGTTCTAAATACAATCCATTTGTTTACCTTGGAACATCAATTGGGCCTTTTTGGAAAAGTCAGTCCACAACACTATCTGCTTATGAGCATAAGCCTTTTTCCCTGGTTCCAACAATTGTAGAGCCCTTTTCTCCCATATGTCCTTCTGGAACTCAAACCATAAGATGGCCCAAACCATCTCATGCCTCACCAATGACAATTCTTCTTTCCACCTGTCCCTTCTTGCCCTTGCTTTGAGCCAGTTGATCCTGTAAACTGCCCCACAATTTATCGGTGAGATTTTTTTGAGTAGTATTAACACTTACACTCCTCCATTAAACCCCCCTTCTCAGCATTCAGTTGACCCTGTTCACCATCCATCATCCAAAACCATGCCATTTTGCTGGTTCCCTGCCCAAACCGGTTCTCCTCTGTAACATCCTTACTCACTGCCAGGTCCTGGGGCTGAATAGCCTGATATTTTTGTCCAATCTCTCGATTGGGTTCCAACTGGAGAATGGCCTGCCTTGCCCTCTGATAACTTCTGACCTGCTTGTTTATCTGAGCCACCACTTTTTGGATGTCCTGCTTGGTTCTTGTACCTTCCCTAGTTGATTGTGCACTGCGGAAGTTCTGTCTGTATAACATTGCCTTGTGTCCAAGGTTGGTTCAGAGCTGGTCTAGACAATCATTAGCTTGCCCAATCCTGAGTTCCATTTCTTCTTTGAGGAGGTCATGAAGGCCAAGCTCCATCAGTTTGGTTGCTCCAATGGATGAGGGCATCCATATACTCATGAGCTCAGCAGGTAGCTCCTCTCCTTCTTCTGTAGGCTCCCAATCCTCATCATCTTCCCAGTACTCTCCATTGTCATCAATTTCTTCACCTTGCCCAAGGAATGCTGGATCATCCTGGGGTATGAAGACATCATCCACCTCCAAACCTTTGAGAAATGCCAGGCTGGTGCCATGGAATTTGTCAATCCTGGCAGAAAGTCTTTTTCTTTTCTCTGAGACTTTGATTTCTTGTCTGGTAGACATGTGGCTCTGTCTAAGCTCAGATCTTAGCTGGTCCCTGCAGGTCTGGTTAGCAGCCTATTGCTTCTGGAAACCACAGACCATACTGTGCATCCTCTATGCTAATTCCTTCCACAAGCCAAGCCACAGCACCATGGCTCCCTGGGGACACAGGTGGATTTTTCATGAGCTTTAACTGCACTTCACCCATGGTAGGGGCCACAGGCCATCAGACATGCCCAGGGTTTCTTAGGAACATACTGACCTTTTTCCCCTTTCAACAAATAAATGTCTAGGGAATCACCTCAATTTGCTTCTGCCTCAAGAACATCTGACTCCCATTGGGCAAGTTGGCCAGGGTCTAGAACAGCTGTCAACTGCTCATATGCCTGATTCATTTCTTCTAGGCACTTGTGTGAGGTCTTGTATTTTTTCAACAGTGCAGGAACTGAGATGTACAGGGTAAATTAACTTCTCTTTGAAGAAAAGGTCTCTCACCCATGTTGACAATTTTTTTCCAGTTAGAATCTGGTCATCATACACTTCTTGTCTGTGGGCCTGAGTCATAGACCTTGCAGTGGGAGAGATCTTATTGAATGGAGCCCACAATGTCTCCAAAATTTCACCATCCAGATGACCAGCACCCTTGATAAAGTTGAGGCTATATCTTGGAAAGCAAGAGAGTTTGTGGGCAGCAAGATGAAACTTCCCCACAGCAGGAATGATTTCCAGGGAGGGAGGGAGATGGAGAGAGCAGCTGGATTTTACCCAACTCTGGAAGTTAATACTCCACTGGCACCCAACATCATAAATGACAAGGGCCTTTGTGATGCTTTCTGAATGATAATCAAGAGCACTGCAGATGGAGTAATCTGTGTTCATGTACCTAGCACAAAATGAGTTCCAAAGGCTTCCAGTACATCCATCAGGTCCACTCACTTTTCCCCTTTCTGAAAGTCCACCACAGAATGGGGAACAAAGCAACCATGCCAAGCACAGGCTGTGGCACCAATCCCAGTGGACTGGAGATTGGACTTGTTAATATTAGCAGCATTGATTGCCCTGTGATTGCTGCAGGTGGATCTCTACCAGTACAGTGGGTCATTTAAACTCCATGACCTTGGGACAACTCACCTCCTTGTTATCCAAAGACTGCTCAAGATGGGCCTGGTAGGGCTTTTCAGCAACCATGTAACCAGTTCCATCTGCTAATGACACATCCAACTCAGGCTTGTTCATTTTCATATGCTGAGCAGTGAAGTTGCCATCCATGACATATTGCCTCATTATGGTATCACTAAGGGGGGAGGGGAGTTAGAAATCAAAACCCTACAGTTTATCACTCCATACCTGTCATATCGGGTTTTCCAATCTGGAGGTAAATTAATACCTGGTTGTGGGCAGGCAGGACAAAAGAGTGCAAGTTCTCCTTGTCTAGGATCTTGTTCTTTATCATGACCAAAGCCAAACCATTTCCTATGTTTCAAATCCCTCCACAGTCTGGAAACCCTCATCAGCTCTCGGTACCTGTCCTAATTGGAAATGAATGCATTAATAGAACCCCCTAAGAGCAAATAGTGCATGGCACTCAACTGGTATACAGTCAGGAAATGCATTGTTGGTGAACCTCTTCAGCTTCTGATAGAAACTCATAGCTGAAGTCTTGCATTCCAGGGCATCAATGAGAAAGTGATTAAGAACATCAAAGGTGAAAGCAGTCTTGGGCTTTGTTATACTGGCTGGAAAGAGTCTTTCCCTGAGTAAATCAAGGTGCCAGTCGATTGAATCTGACCCAGGGCAATTGCACCAAGAAATCTCATGAGTGAAAATTCCTTCTGTGTGCACTATGGTCATTTTTGATCTGAAGGATCTCCTGCTACCAGAGGTTAACATGGAGGCTACAGGATATGACTGCCATTGACCTGTAATTGGGAGGCCCTTCCCCAGAAGTATAGCCCAACTCCTCTGAGTCTGGATCCTGATTCTGTCCATTTTGAGGGCAAGGATGACCCCCATGGCCAATGTGCCAAAGGAACCCAAGTGCCATCAAAGAGGTATCCTGGTAATGAGTAGCATTCCATCTTTGTACCTTGTGGAATGGAAGATTTTGATGCACTTTCACAGCACAAGGACCACACCAGGCATGCACACCAATGCAGGACATGCATCTGATACTTCCTTCTGCCTGACAGCACTGCTCACATATCCCCCCCTTAGCCAGCTGCTCTCCCTCAAGAATGACTTTGAGATATTCTGCTCTCCAAGGCAGCCATTCTCTGATGAAATCATTTTGACTCTAGGGGATAATTTAGCCAATGCAGTATCAGGCAAAACTTCCCACCTTGGTAACCCTCCTAGTATTTGGGGTATCTTCCTCATCATTCCAGTCCAAGGTAGGCATGTCAAAGGAGTCTGGGACAACATTTTGGGAGCCTATTGTCCTGGGGGTCCTTGGAGTTGAAGGTTGACTCTGAGATGGGAGGTAGAGGTGTCTAGCATCCACCTCCTTGTAGGTGTCCTTTCCTCTCCAGGTTTTAGTGACTTCAAATTTATACAAACCTCCTGCAGAGCTTTTGCCAAGGACTTTGGTTCTACGACGATGCATGATTGAGCACAGGAAGAGTCAAAAGCAAGGTTTTCAGCTGTATTGAAAATTTTTCATCCCCAAAACAACACCACACAAGTCCAGAACAAGGTTATCAAATGTATTTAAAATATTTGTACCCAAAAATTGCCACTAAAATGTGTTTTAAGTGTATCTGACAGCCAACCCAAGAATGTCCTTTTGGGTAGTCCATGCTGGTCTTGTGACCTTGAGTCAGTCATGTACTTTGTCCTTCATATAGTGCACCAATGCAATTCTTTCTCCCTTCTCCCACTTTGGCACAGAATGTTGAAGGATTTTTCCTGATAGGAAAATCATGGTGCCTGGGGAATAAGCCAGTTCGGCCCCCAGATCTGGAATAAGGAATTTAGCATTGTGAGAACCCAGGCTCACTAATGAATCCAGAAGGGTTGGGGTGGATGTGACATCTTGGTGAGAGGGAGTTTCCTGATTGACAATAATATCAATGTTGGTATAGACTGATGGCCAATCCAGGGATATCTCATTCTCCACCCTGCCAGCCTTGGCCAACATTGCTTGATCACCAGCCCTGGCCATATCTGGCAATGAGACCTTTGCTATATTGCTCCAGAAGTGTTCCACATAAGAAATCTTGAGCAGCCATTCCCTATTGGCTTTCTGTTTGAGGGATGTGCTTTGATAGAGTGTATCAACCAACCTCTTTAAATTTGTCAGCCCCTACCATGGAAATCACAGCACCTGGACAAACCTCATGAGCCTGTTGGAATGTGGCAGGAGACATGGAAATCCTGCCATGTCCATACATGAGTTGGTCAACAGGCTGATGCTTATGGCCATATCGTTTGTTAAGCTTGCTTTTGTCTTTTGGCTTGTTCTTGGGCTCAGTCTGAAGATTGTGTTTTATGGAAAGGAGAAGGGAATTGAGAAGTTCCTATGATATAAAAGCTGTAGTGAAGGGTTGTCAGAGAATGAAAACACTCACTATCCATGCATCTGGGACAATACCAGGCAGATACCATACTATCACCCTGCCATGCACATCCAGAACTGTGGCAGGAGCATTGATATACCCAATTTTTGGGTTTTCAAAATGGATGGTCCTGTCCTTGGCATGCACCAATGGTTCAGAAAACCTGTCTGCATCCCAATGCAACACATCTATTAAGGGTCAGACTTGGATCACTTGCAATTGTTGTGGAAATCACCTACAGGGATTGAGGATGGCATGTGTAATGACTGCAGATGCCAGCCTAACTTCCAAAGATGTAATAGCATCTGAAGTTAGACCAGATTCCCCTTGCAATGTTGCCCTGACTTGGGTTAACTCAGCCAAGGATTGAAGTCTATTATCCAACTAAATACATAGCAAGTGTAGCATCACTGCTTATGGCTTACCTTGGCTTCCTGAGCTGGTGATTTGAGAAAATAGAGCTGGAAGAGATCATAGGGACTGTTCCAAAGGCAGCCTTCAGCATTCCAACCACCATTGTATGCAGGGAATCATCCATGATGATGTGGGGGGTGTTGGAAAAGTCAAAGGAAATTTTTTCAACTGTGAGAAAAATAGTTAAAAATCACTCAGTACATAAGTTGGAAGTTATTCTCCACAAGGGACCTTGCTTGACTTGGGGGAAGATCCAGAATCCAGAAACCCAACTTAGTCTACTAGATACACCATGTTTCTTGAAACATCTAGTGATGTAAGCAGGGGCCTGGAATGGTGGAATCAAACTCAGCAGCAGTTGAACTCCAAGTCAATCCAGTCCAGCAATCTCTTGAGCATCATGGGAAACCATGGAACACCAATACTAATCTAGCAATCTAGCAACATCCAACAGCTAGGAACACATCCAGTCAGCATTTGAAGGGAAGATGTTGGGTTGCTAGTAATGCCATTGGCAAGCTCTTGAGCATCAAAGGGAAACCTTGCTTAAGAAGATCAGCCATGGAACACCAGTGCTAATCTAGCACCATCCACCAGCCAGGCAGACTGACATGAAACAATACACCAAGTCATTTGCTAAGGTTAGGGTTAGAAGGAGACTTGCATGAAGAAATACACCAAGTCTTATGCTAGGGTTAGGGTTAGCACATGCTTCATTCAAAAAAAGAAGCATAGATTCCCACACAGCATTCAAATCCAATCAAAGCAGTGACATTTACAAGGTCATACATAAATTCAACTACAGTTACAATTTCAACTACAAAGGTATAATGGTTTCATAAGAAACCAAGGCTTGCCTGCATTCCAGAGGGGGCCCTCCTCCAGAAGTACAGTTGGGCCAATAAAAACTGTCCTCAATTCAACCAAGTTCCCAAAAAAGTGCACAAAAGCTGATAACAAAGATACTAAAAACACATTAGCATCAACACAACTTTGCAAAGTTCACATACCTGAGGTGCACTATTTCTTCACCAGGAGTCAAAGACAAACAGCTCTAGAAAGTTTATGTCAGTACAACATAGATTATACAGAAGTTGAATACTCACTACACCAAAGCCTGACCAACTAGCTACTACCAATGTATACCAACACATACCACACAAAAAAACGTCATAAGCTGACCTACAATGTAGGTACAGACTAGCCCCCAGATCCCATATGAGCTGGCCTACAATGTAGGCACAGACTATTCCCCCAGACCCAACATATTACCCAACAACCAAAAATTGCGCTGGCCAAGCACAATCTAAGGTCAAGGGCAGCCCCTCCCTACATCCTGTAGCTGCAGACTACAGTCAATAGTGAGGCACCAAGGATGCTGCAAAGTAACGGTAATCAAGTAATGTGAAAATTCTGGGATCAGAGGTGCCACTTACCTTATGACAGCCAAGACGATGGGCTGAGATAAAAACAAAGATGATGTAGCATGCAAAACGGGAGAGAGAGGGGGGGAAAGGGAGATGGAGATGGAGGGAGAGGGAGGACGATGGAGGGGAAGTGTCACATTGCAGGAAAACGCAGTAAGGGAAAAAACATGCCACTGACTGGGGGGGATTTATATACTTGAGTCTTATGTACCATTGTTTGGCCACAGTCCAACTAATGAGGTCGCTGTCAATGTCACGTTCTTGGCCTCAGCACATGTTCAGTTGCCATGAGTGCTGGCAACTTCCTCTGAGTCAGTACTGCGTGTTGTACTATACATCGCGAATAGTGATGTCACGTGACTCCACTGTCACCAGATTCAGCTTCTATATACTAAATACTAAATGTTCGCTTGACATTCTCATAATTGCATTGTTGAGCTGAGCAAGCACTCCCTCATGCTGTTGGCTGAGCGGTAGTGGTGGCTTACCCTTGGGATTTCACAGAAAATGTATTGTAGTAGCACTACCGGATCATTTAATAAATGTAGTCACTTATTGAAACTGGAAATTGGCCTAGCAGTGACTGACCACTCCGTATATAGTCCTACATAATGTTCCAGAGATGCATCCGAAGTACGGGTAGACACATGTGATGATCATGACAGCTGTGACATTGTTCATGTCACAATTAAGGTTGTGTCCAAGATTATCATAGGTCTCACTACGTGACCTGTCCAAAATCAAGATCTGTGCATCTGAGTATCTGGATTGTTTGCTGCTCTCCTCTTGCCACACAGTGTCTCCCTCACCAACCGTCATTGCGTTATCCCACTCTCTGGCCCTGCTGCATCTCAGTGAAATTTTTGGTACGTTGTCGTCCTCTGGATCTCTCGCACCTCTCCCTCTCTAAACACAAAATAGGTACGTCATGCCACATCTCCCTTCAAAAAAAAAAACAAAAAAGGTATGTTGTTGAACCTCTCATGGCTTCAACACTCACATCACACACCAGGACGCTGCCATTCTTCTCAGTCTATTGCACATTGTTCAGTGTCCCATACTACTCACAAAGCCCATTCATTCAAAAAGAAGGTAAGTAGCTTGCAGCGTCCCTCTACAACTCACAAAACACCCCCCCCCCCTCTTGCCAGGTCTCATCCAAAAAACAGGTATGTCATCCCAGTGCGCGGCATCTCTCTACCACTCACAGAACACCCTCTCACCTTGTCTCATCCACAAAACAGGTATGTCATCCTACTTCCTGGTGTCCCTCTACCACTCACAAAACACCCCCTTGCCATGCTTATCCAAAAAAAAGGTATGTCGTCCCAATTTCACGGCATCCCTCTACAACTCACAGAACACCCCCTCGCCATGCCTTATCAAAAAAACAAAAGGTAAGTCGTCCCAGGTTGCAGCATCCCTCTACCACTCACAGAACACCCCCTCGCCGTGCTCATCCAAAAAAAAGGTATGTCATCCCAGCTTCGTGCTGTCCCTCTACAACTCACAGAACACCCCCTCACTGTGCCTTATCCAAAAAAAAGGTAAGTCATCCCAGGTCATGGCATCCCTCTACCACTCACAGAACACCTCCTCACTGTGCCTCATCCAAAAAAAGGTACATTGTCCCAGCTCGTGGCATCCCTCTACCACTCACAAAACACCCACAGAACACCCCCTCACCATGCCTTATCAAAAAACAAAAGGTAAGTCGTCCCAGGTCACAGTGTCCCTCTACCACTCACAGAACACCCCCTCACCGTGCTCATCCAAAAAAAAAAGGTAAGTCGTCCCAGGTCACAGTGTCCCTCTACCACTCACAGAACACCCCCTCACCGTGCTCATCCAAAAAAAAAAGGTATGTCATCCCAGCTTTGCGGCATCCCTCTACAACTCACAGAACACCCCCTCACCATGCCTCATCCAAAAAAAAGTTACGTCGTCCCAGCTCATGCAGCGTCCCTCTACAACTCACAAAACACCCACAGACCACCCCCTTGCTGTGCTCATCCAAAAAAAAAGGTGTGTTGTCCCAGCTTCATGGCATCCCTCTACAACTCACAGAACACCCCCTCGCCATGCTCATCCAAAAAAAAAGGTATGTTGTCCCAGCTTTGCGGTGTCCCTCTACCACTCACAGAACACCCCCTCACCGTGCTCATCCAAAAAAAAAAGGTATGTTGTCCCAGCTTCACGGCATCCCTCTACCACTCACAGAACACCCCTTCGCTGTGCCTCATCCAAAAAAAAGGTATGTCATCCCAGCTCACGCAGCATCCCTCTACAACTCACAAAACACCCATAGAACACCCCCTCGCTGTGCTCATCCAAAAAAAAAGGTGTGTTGTCCCAGCTTCGTGGTGTCCCTCTACAACTCACAGAACACCCCCTCGCCATGCCTTATCAAAAAAAAAGGTATGTCATCCCAGGTCATGGCATCCCTCTACCACTCACAGAACACCCCCTTGCTGTGTCTCATCCTATAAAAGGTATGTTGTCCCAGTTCCTGGTGTCCCTGTACCACTCACAAAACACACTAGTAGACTATCAATTCATATCTCCCTCCTGCCACACTGCATCTCCCTTGCTGTGTCTCATCCAATAAGGTATGTTGTTGGACTTCTACTTCATGGTGTCCAGATGATACTTACATATCACCCTCTTTGGTCTGCTTATCCAGTGCCCAGTGTTGT